CAGGCCCTACGAAGACAGGCTACGGGACCTGAACCTGTTCAGCCTCCACAAGAGAAGGCTGAGGGGGAATCTAGTGGCCGTTTACAAACTAGTCAGAGGGGACCAGCAGGCACTGGGGGAGTCCCTGTTCCCCCGAGCACTACCAGGAGTGACTAGAAATAACAGTCACAAGACATCTAGAGACGCTACTTCATTTGCCCTGTGTATGTGAGTGCCTGTGTGAGAGGGTGAATGGTGAAAGAATGATAACTATTTGCATGAAAACAGAAGATTTAACTGATTGTATAAGCAACAAGGCACCAATGTATGATTTACCAGACAGTAAACTAATTAAGCTAATTAATGGGTGGCTGAAGAACTCATCTGTGATCAGATGCAAAGATAGTGAGAAGAAGGAATTTTGCATATCCTGCCATTTGAACTACACAATGCTTCAAGGCAGAGATACCAACGACACAATGCTTCAAAACTGAAATCCCAACTCCGAGATAAAACTTTACTGTAATGACCTCAAGCTGAGATAACCAGAAGATGGGTAAGAAACAGCCTCTAATTAAAAACAGCATGGAAAAACCCCAATGCTGAACAAAGACTTGAAATCCCTTTAGAAGTGAGATGCAGACAAGCCATGATGGGGAATCCACTCTCTGCAACCTCCTGGAGCACAAGCGAGTCTGCTCCCCTCTGCTCATCATCCTTCAATGAGCCTGGACTGGCCATCCAGTGCTAACATTGAGTAACTTCTGCTGGTAACTATATCTTACTGGAGTAGTTTTGTATATTTGTCTATGTCTGTCTGTCTGTCTGCTTGTGTATGACTGTTTGTATACTGGTGTGTCCAAGCTTATGTATCTGCTTCATGTAATCAATAAACGCTGCATTTTGCCCTTTCCTCCTGTATAAGGTCTTGCTCTTGACTGGAGCAATTGGCAATTTAAAGTAACACAAAAAACCCACAGATGATTGTTTTCTTTTGCTACCACAATTCAAGAGATTAATTTAAATTCAAGCCTAGGCATTTTTAAAAATTCTAACCCCCCCCTGCAAAACCCAAAAGTCATATTTGATTTTTTTTGGGGGGTGGGAGAGTAGGGGAGGAACTGTGTACACGTGTATTTTCAAAAAAACAAACTCTAATTTGCACCTTTCAGTTCAAGACTCTAATGCCACAATTTCCCACACAGTTAAACATGAATAGTCTCAATGACATCAATGGAACAATTCAAAGTCAAATTATGCACACAAATAAGTGTTAGCAGGACATAGCCACCAATACAGACATCTGTCTGCTCTTTGGGATAACTCACCTTTCTTTTAGACGCATATTTTAGTTGCACATTGTGACGAATTTTCTCAAGACGCTCTTCTCGCTTTTTCCTCTTGATCTGCTCTTCCTAAAACATAGAGAAAGCAGAGAAAAGAAATGTACTCATTTAGGCCTACAAGCCAAACAGAATTCTTCTCCAGGCACCCTGGCTCCCAATCACCAACACACTCCTGTCTCTCTGTATCTATTGCTAGCATATGCCTCATGGCTCAGGCCTGCAGTAACTTGATACTATGGTATGGGCATAATATCAAGTTTCCCTGTTACAGGACTTTTCTTAACTAAAGATTGCTAAAACAAATCACACCAAACTTACGATACAGTTACATTCACAATGCAGCAAATGCTTCATTTCAGCACTTGGAATTCCAAGAACTATTTCTACTGAGCAGAGAAAGAATGAGCACTTGAAAGCCTAAACGTTAAGAAAGTACAATATCATATCAGTTTGCCCCCGGTCCCCTATTCTTCCAATCCAAATACTAACAATCACCAGCTAGTCACGTAGCAGCTGGTTAGGACATCTTCAAAATTCGGTGAATTCTGAGGACCTGATGTATCCCTCTTGATCAAAATGTTTTTCTAAACCCTAAGCTTCTATGAGCACAAGCACATGCAGTTGTGGCTACAAAAAGCCACAAATATAATCAGAATTCTGTGATTACACTGTCAGACAACCTGCCAAACAAGACATGGGCATTATCCCATTCACCTTAATGTGGTATTACAATTGCACCAGGAATCAGTTTACATGTCAACCTTGTTTCATTGCTGACAGCTCCACCTAATGACATCCACCAAATTGCAGCGGTGTCAATTTTACCCTGGGCTGGATCCAGACAGGAAGGGGCTTCTTCTCAGCTGGATCTATGGGCCTGGGTGGCAATGTGTGGGTCTGGGTGGGTGGCAACATGTTTTATGGGGCATGCGGCTGGACAGAGCTGCATTTGTGCAGTGCAGAGCCAGGGGCACACATTTCATGAGCCAGGGGCATGCAGTGGTGCAGAACTCTGGCCAGGCAGCAGCACAGAGCTGGGGATGTGCAGTGGCATGGAGCCATGTTCAGCCACATCTCTCTGCTACTGCACATTCCTCGTTATCTGTGGACACACGCCCCTGGCTCTGCACCGTGTGAACATGCCTTCATGCAGCCACACGCCCCAGCACTGCTGACCAGCCAGAGCTCCATGCTGCCAGGCAGTGGCACAGAACTGGAGATGTGCGGATGCATAGATCCTCATTTGTGTAGCTACACACCTGCAGCTCCACGCCACTGCCCAGAGACAGAGTTCTGTCCAGTTAGCAACATCAGGGGCGTGCAGCAGCGTGGAGCTTAGGGGCAGTAGCACTTCCAATAGCCTAGGCCCAGGGGTTGTATGTTTGACACCCCTGACCTAATGGCTTAACCACTGGAGTAGGACATCCTTCTTAAATGTTCTCCCAACAAATTGGCAGGGCAATCTTCAAAATAAAGTTAGGCAGAACATGCACCTCTTTGCAGGTTCATAATTTTAAACTGCATTTCCAGTTAGTAGAACAATGAAGACACTTGATACAATCTTCAGAAACAAGGGTAAATATAGATGTTTACAAACTGCCAACTAAGTAGGATGATCATACATCCTGGTTTGGCCAGGACAGTCCCAGATTTCATAGGCCATCCCAGCCAGTTAGTGAAAATGGAAACAAAAGTCCTGGATTAGCACCACCCAGCCAAAGCTGCCCAGCCTGGCTCCCCCCGAGCAGCAGTTGGAGGCAGGGGGCAGACTGGGCTGGGTACTGCTTCTCCTGTCAGAGGTGAGGAAATCAAGAGAGAGGCAGGGGAGAAAGTGTCCTGGATTTCCTTAAAAATAGTATCGTCACTCTACAACTGAGACAACTGAGCAGATCAGAACTTTTGGGCAGGGGCGATGTAAATCTGTCAGTGTAGTTTATGCTGGTCTCTTACAGCCCTGAACAATTACACTGGGGTCCGAAACAGAAAGACATGCAGGTCTCCCAAGGTCACAAAGCAGGCAGCTATTAGGGCAGCAATTCTCAATTGTTTTAGAATCAAGGTATCCCTTGTTAGACTCAAGGCACACCTGAGAAAATGCCAGCTCTTAGCTTCCATTTGTTTATTTTGACTACAGAAAAGTAATAGAGCAATTATTCTGCTGTAAAGAACTCTGGAAAGCCACCACAGGGAAGAATGGTTTTGACACTAGGGATTCCTGTTTGAAATCTCAGGGTTTGTCTTGTGAATCACATGGCGATGTTGCACACTTAACTGCACTAACATTACAGGGCAAGCCAAGAATCACTTTATTATTGTGTTTTGCAGCTATGCTGTAGGGCAGGTATGTTAAACTGAATGGCCCCCTGTTGTGGTGCTGCTAAAGATACTGGGAATCTGGGGGCACAACAAGCAGGGGCAGGGCCTGCCCTAGCAATCCGAGGCAGGGACCAGCTGTTAGCCTACCCGAGTGCCCTCACTACCACATGGGAATCTGCCCTGGGTACAGGGCACATTGGCCGCTCCAGAGTGGCGGTTAGAACAGGGGACTCCATTTCCCAGCAGCCCTGGCTCTTGGCTGGTCTCCATGGAGATCTTAGGAGCACAGGGATATGACATCATGGGATGCAGAACCAGGGCTCTGCCCAGGCCTGGGCCTGCACTGTCATGCCACCACGCTCCCGGGGTCTCCACAGAGACTGGCCAGGGGCCAAGCAGGGAGCTGCTCCGCAGCCGGGGCCAAGATCTCGTGGTGGTAACAGCGTGGGGCAGGGCTGGGGCAGAGCTGCAATCTACTGCCCGCAGGCCCATGCCTGTGGAACCCACGCTCGTCGCAGAGGTGTGACAGTGCAGGGCTGTGCTGGACAGGGGCAAAGCCCCAGGTCTGCACCCCACACTGCCATGGCCCTGAGCTCCAGGATTTTCCAAGGAGACCAGCCAGCAGCCAGGACTGCTGGGAAATAGAACCCAGCTGCCAGCCAGATCCACCACTTTGCCCATCCTGGGTCAGAGTCAAAACTGTAGCAAAAAATGAGGGTTGGGAGGGACCTTAGGAGCGTACCTAGTCCCACCCCCTTCTCAAAGCAGGACCTTCCCCAACTAAATCATCCCAGCCAGGACTTTGTCTTGCCGCATCTTAAAAACCTGCAAGGATGGAGATGCCTCCATGGGTAAGCTGCCCAGTGCTTCACTACCCTCCTGGTGAGAAAGCTTCTCCTAATATCTAACATATGCTTCCCTTGCTGCAACTTGAGGCTCTCAACCTCTGTGATGGAGGTTCCTGCAGCAGATGGAGCGAGGCTGTTTCAAAAACAGCCTGAGCCTGCCCTTTCTCTGCCATTCCCCTGCCCAAAGCCTGATCCCAGCTTGACTCAGTGACACTGCAGCACCCTTCAAAGGATCTCAAGGCACCTGGAGCAGCCCCACTCTATGACAGTCATAGTCATAGAAAGGTATCCAGGTACTAGCTGTATCGGTCTAATGGAAAAAGCAATCAGGACTCATAGTAGAGATGATGTCTTTTATTAAACAAACAAGATTTCTGCAAACTCCCAGAGGAGTTTTCCATCTATCGACTCCTCTGTGAAATCCTATGAAATATGAACTTTCATTTCTACCCAGGAGAACTTTTACAGCCTATCCTCCAATGACTGATGAAGGGTGTTTGTGCCCAAAAACTTGCAAATAATGAATAATTTTTTTTTTTTGCAAAAATCTTTGTGGTCTAATAAAAGATATCATCTCTACTATGAGTCCTGATAGTCGTAGACAAGCAGGGCTGGACACAACCTCCAGGATCTGAAGACAGCAGGCAGCAGGGTGGGCAGGAGCCTGCTGGTCTCGGGCCAACAGGTGCCCACCAGAACCCACAGCCAAGCAGCGTTCCCTCCATCCCCAAGTCCTGCTGCTGCAAGAGGCTCTCTCAGGGCCAGGCAGTGCCCCCACCCCCACCTTGGCTCTGTCGGCGCGGTCCCGCGCCGCTTTGCCCTGCACGAACTCGGCCACCCAGGCCGGCTCCCCGGCGGCCGGGTCAAGGGCGCCCCCCGGCGACGACTCCTGGTCCCGCTGCTCGGGCTCCTGCAGCAGCCGCGCCTCATCCTGCCGCTTCCGCTCCTCACAGTCGCGCAGCCAGGCCAAGGCGCCGCAGATCAGGCTCAGGGACTTGCCCTGCGGGAGGGAGAGGGGGGGAAGCATGACGTCACGCGACGTCACACCCCCGCACGCCGGCAGTACCCCCCGGCCCGACACGCACCGTCCCCGTAGGGCTCTCGAAGATGCCGACCCCGCCGGCCTCCAGGGCGCGGTACAGCGCGGCCATGAACTCCTCCTGGATCCGGTACGGGGCGAACGGGAAAGGGAAGCGGGTGCCTCCCTCCCGCGCGCCAACGACCGCCCCTGCCTCAACCGCCATCGTACCACCACCCGCTGCCCGCTTCGAACGGACCGCCGAGGAGGCCCCACCCCCCCGCCAGCGTCTAACGTCACCCGGCGCGGTGGTGACAGCGCATGCGTGAGCCGTGCTAGTGGCGCCGCGTACCGCCTCGCTTTCATTCGGAGACTCGGGGGAGACTGAGCGCTCGGGAGATGGGAGTGGGGCTTGGCGCAGCGACAGCGTGTGACGGAGGTTGTGACGTGTACCGGCTCCGGGCGCTCCCTGCGAGGGCCGCGCGTGAGGAGGGGCGGGGGGTGTTTAGCGCCGGGAGTGACGTGCAGCCTAGTGCGCGGGAGCAGACGGCTGGGTGCGCTCTGGCTAGGAAGGCAGCAAAAACCTAAAAATCCGTAAGCCGGATGCTGTGTTTTACGTGTTAGTCGTTTGTACCCAACACCTTGAGGGGGAATGAGGCTAAAAGCAGCCGCGTGGTTGAACCTGAGGCTGATTATGCTGGTGGTATCTGGGGCTAGAAGTAGAGGCAAGGCCGTTGTTAACACGAGAAGTTTAAATGGCAATTCATGGAATTAGCCTGGACTGCTGGGAAGCCAAGTGTTCCCCATGCCACCGATTCTCAACCTTTTTTGTACCAGGACCCATTTGTATATATCAGTAGGCAGTCTGCATGCAGTGCCCCTCACTCCTGACCCCCAGCCCCCCTGGTGTGTGGGGCATAGGGGGGGCCAAAGCAGCCCCTTGCAGGCTTGAGCTCTGCCAGCCAGCAGGGGAAAAGCCAAGGTCTCCACAATCCTTTCAGATATTCTTGCAACCCACTTTTGGGTCACAACACATGAGTTAAGAAACGCTGCCCTAGGATACTTCCCCTGGGAAAATGGGCCTGGCCAGGGTTTGCTGAGAGACAAGGCACACAAATTTGAACCAAACTCGTTGTCTGCCTTCAGCCTAAGGGCCTTGTTACAGGTTGGACTTCAAGCTGCTCAAATGTTGCTTGTGTTAGTGTTAGCTCCAGTCTGCAGCAGTCCAACTTAAAGCTAAAAACCTCTGACCAACCCCCACCTGCACAGCAGTGACTTGCCACTAGAGGCAGGCAGGGGGCTTGCCTGGGAGTTGCCACTGCAGGACTGGTGAGCTAGGGCAGGCTTCTATCCCGGCTGTAGGTAGACCCTGGGTGTAAGGGATTGGTTGGGGTAGGGAGGGGGTAAGGACATGAAACTGAGGCAGAGATAGGGTTGCCAACTCTACTGAAGCTATTTTTCAGTAGGGGTATTTTTCCCTTAAACAGAGTTCAAGGAGTGGAAAGTTTGTCTGCACAGGAGGGAGGGGGCATCCTGGGATGCTGGGAGACAGCAACTTAGGCCGCTCATCTGTGGTGAGGGGCCACACATTAATAGAACATGAGCTGGGTAACATGGATTGGAGAGAAACCTGCCCTGGAATAACATAACTTCAAGCCCCGTTATGAGTGCTTAAAACTAGTTTCTGGTGTTAATATGTGAATAAATCCAGGGGTTAAGAGCTCCACAAGCCGCCTAAGATAAATGTGCAACCAGGCCCTCAGAGCACTGTATTCCAGCAGGACTGAAAAACTGGTAATAGTCTATGGGCTACGAGTAGGAACCCAAGTTGAGTATGAGGTGAGGTCAGGAACTCTGAAACGATTAGTTTTGTTTAAATAGGGTAAGGCCAAGATTTTGTTGGGGTCCCAAAGTGGAAGTTAACAGTGCTTCAGAGAGAGGAGACAAGATCTGGAAAGGTTGCCAGAGGAAAAAAAAGGCAGAACTTGGGCTGAAAACATTTGTGGATCTGCTCTCCTTAGGAGCAGCCACTTCAATTCTGCACGACTTGGCTTTACCTCTCCTGGGTTTTTGCTTGTGGAGGTACGAATCCTTTGAATTGATGAAATCCCTGAGAAAGGGAGTAAAAGACAAAGTTCAGCCCCAAATTGTCAAGAACAAAGAATAGGAAGAGCCCAGACCTCTATCTAACCCTGGGTAATGTTTTTACACTTGTGAAGAACTAAGAAAGGGACCAAAAACAAAAATTCTCGTCCACAGTTCAAAGAGAGTCTGTGGTTAGGCATCTAAATAAGTGCTGGTATTTTCAAAAATGCTGAAAACCCCACAACACCCATTACCTTAGGGCAGAGCCATCCAACTTCTAAGCGGCTGGGGGCAGCTCACCCCTCAGGCCACACTAGCAGGGGCAACACCCCCATTGCACCCCCTACCCCCACTGCATCATGTACACAGGTGTCCTCCCTCTGCCCCCACTGCACCAACACTTCTCCACCATGCATGCAGGGTGTCACCCTGTTTTACCATGCACTCAGGTGTCCTGACTTACCCTTAGCTTCCCTGGCCACAAGTTCCCCGGCTACACTGTGCCACTCAGGCACCCTAGGCTGCAGGATCCCCTGGCACTGAAGGCTTGGTCATGCTTCACTATCATACACGCCTGGGATAAGGCCAGAGGCAAGCAGGGGAAGAAGGGAGATGAGTCTGGAACCCCTGGCTTCTGCTGCAGCTGGAGCACTGAGGGGAGCAGTGGCTAGGTGGGAACCCAGAGGCCAAATTTTAACTCCTCATGGTCTACTATTTGGACATCCTGCCTTAAAGTGTAGTTTTCCTCTGAAAAGCGACTCTAAAAATTGAATCATGTATACTGTCTCTCTCAGTGATGATTAAAGTAAATCTTCTTAGTGTTCATGCAAAAATAGTTCTTTCCTAACTGTCCATCCTATGAACTAGAACCTGGAACATTTAGCCCAGCTGGTTAGAGCATTATGCTAATGACACCAAGGTCACCGGTTTGATTCCCTAGTTGAAGTAGATCAGTGGTTTTCAACTCTTTTTTCATTTGCAGACTTCTAAAAAATTTTGAATGGAGATGTGGACCCCTTTGAATTGTAAGTGTGGGTATTCACATACTTTTGCTTGATCTTGGTCATCTTTCACAGACCCCTTAAACATAGTCTGCGGGCCCCCAGGGGTCCACGGACCACAGGTTGAAAGCCACTGAACTAGATGATCTCATGAGGTCCCCTCCAATCTTACTTCTCTATGATAACTGTGAATCTCAACAATAGTAACGTCCATAACGGAAAAGCAAATACACATATCTCTGAAGATGATTCCACTTTGCTTTGTAGTTTTTTACTTCAAGTTTTAATTTTGGTATCAAAGTGTAGATGACAGAACAGATGTAGGAACCTGAAGAAATGATTAGACTCAACAGCTGGTTATATAGATGTAAAGTTGGCCAGTCCTATCCATCCTTATGACATCACAGAATTCTAGAGCTGTTACCACCAATCAGAGCTCTACAGCTGGCTGGAGAAACCTTCCACAGGTGAGGTATTGCCTAAGGTAGTAGAGCTGAGTTTTAATGAGCTTTCTGGCTGTAATTTATAACATATATTGTGTGAAATCCTGGCCCTTATCAAAGTCAAAGGCAAACCTTCCATTAGCTTCTGTAAAGCCAGATTTAATCCATTGTTTGTGGGTGCAATTTTCTTTTGGCCTTTTCCATTTCTGGAATGTTTATTTTCTTGTCATTTTAATCTTCAGCAGTTTTCCCCTACCCAAACAAGAGAGGAAAACTGTGCAAATATTCTCAACATTTTAAAGAGATCCTAAATAATAACTACAAGGTCATAGAAGACCCTATGATCATAAGCCAATATTCACAGTTTGAAAAATAATGACAATAAAATAGACCAGTGTGCCCAACTTGAACAATCCCTGAAGTCCTTATGATGACAAATCAGAATATTCTCAGCTCTCACAACAAACTCTATAACGACTAACCAGTGCATGCAAGCCCCGTGTTTATAAGAAACCCTGCAAAATACATATACATGTAAACATAGTATAAGCAGCACAACACTCCTGGAAAGCCAGTACAGAGCCCTTGACTCATGCAACCTCTACAATAACAAATTAGAAGACACTGTGCCAGGACTACAACAGCAGAAATAGAGTCTCTGATGTCACACACAGTTTATGATGTCACCAGATACCTATTATGAACCAAGGTGCAGAAGTGGCCCTGCTCAGAGTGTCCCTGCCCTCTCTTCCTCACAGACTTCAGGCAAAAGCAGGGGCAAGAGAAAGGACAAATTGCAGCTAGGCAGAGAACTACAGAATTTCTTGTGTGTTGCATAAATGCAAACAACATCAGGAAGATGAGATGTTAGCAATGCAGGCCTTCCTCGTTGTTTCTGGTGAGTACAAATTTTGCTGCCTCACCCTCTTTCCCAAAAATAACTTACGATATGGGACAGGAAAATGCCCCCTTCCCTCCTTCCTTACTCACTGCAAGCCAAAAGCCTGAGGCACTTAAATGAGAAGGAGAATACAGGATTACTTACCAATTATTTGAACGCTCTCTGTTTCAAACTGGATATGCAGAGCACCAACTCATTAGATACCTTTCCTCCCAATGGCTTAACCTGCCCACTTGTTGACACATAACCCTAACTAGAGCAACTTTTGAATCTTGGCTTTTTTCAGTTTGCCACTAAAAAGGCTAAAGTCAGACAGCTGAAAGAGTCTAATCAGTAGAGGAAAAACTGTAGGTGGCTGGGTTAGAGCTTACTCTGGATTAGAGAGAGGCTAAGAGTGCCATCTATTGTCAAGGTTGCCCACAACTTGCCAGAAAATTCTGTTTCTGATTGCTTCTAATTTTGACAAACTTAAATAACTTGGATAACATTTTATAGGCCAGATACTTGCCTGAGGTTGACTTCAAAAATTTCAACCAAAACTGTTCATCCATTTCCAAGAATGAGCCTAGATAAAAATATATAGCCCATGCCAAACACTGGAAATGATATAAAAATATATAGCACATGCCAAACATTTCCAGTGTCCCATGCCTTGGAAAAAGTACTTGAAATTTCACAGGGCTTTTTATGAGGGCATTATTTTTTACCTACAAAATCCATCCAAATTAGGCCAAGCTATTAGGGTGACCATCCATCCCTAATTGAGTGGGACAGTCCCAAATGTAAACATTAAGTCCTGGTCCTGGGCTCAGTGACTCCAGGACAGCATTTGTTCTGGGTTCTCCTTGAC